AGGCTCTGGCCTGTGGCAACAGGCCTGCCCGCAAGGAATTCTCCCGTCCTAAAGGCCCTCGAGAACAGGCAGGGGTCTGCAAACACTACTTCAGGCCCCACGATACGTCTTTGTAGAAAGTTTATCCTCTGTTTTGTTTTTCTTTAGATAACACCAAAAATATTGACATTTCTAGAGCTGGTGTCAGCCACTTGTACGAAGAATCTGCAAACATTTCCACTAGGTCAGAGAAAACTGCCCCGGATTTAAAACAGGCCATTGGCCCTAACCGGTGTGGCTCAATGGATAGAGCATTGGCCTTCGGACTGAAGGGTCCCGGGTTCAATTCTGGTCAAGGGCATGTACCCTGGTTGCGGGCACGTCCCCAGTAGGAGATGTGCAGGAGGCAGCTGATTGATGTTACTCTCCCTCTATCCCTCTCCCTTCCTCTCTGTAAAAAATAATATATATATATATATATCTATATATATCAATAAAATATATTTTAAAAATAAAATAAAATCTTACAAACCAAACCAGTTTTTCAGGGAATAGGTTGAAAAGAGGCCTTGCACATGATCTCACTCATCTAGAGGAAATGGTGAACAACATAGACTGATGAACAAGAACAGACCGAGATAAGGAGCCATGGGTCAGACTGTTGGACCTCAAAGGGAGGGTGGGGGTAAAGGGAGAGATCAACCAAAGGACTTGTGTGCACACATATGAGCCTAACCAGGGGTCAAGGACAATAGGGGTGTGGGGGCATGAGTGGGGGGGGGGATTGGAATGGGAGGTTGAGGACAATTATGTGATACCTTAATCAACAAAGAAATTAAAATAAATAAATAATAAAAGAAAAGAGCCTTGCGAGCTGAGAAATCTGCTTTGGTCATGTGTGCATCTCATATTCAGACAGAAATCCTGTTACTCCTGTCTCCATGGAGTAAAAAGAGCGGACACGTGAGAATTATTATTTTTTATTATTGTTGCTTTTTAGAGAGAGAGGAAGGGAGAGGGAGAGGAACATTGATGCTTTCCCGATGGGCTGCCTCCTGCACGCCCCCCGCCGGGCACTGAGCCGCAGCGGTGCCCCGAACCCGAACCTCCCGGCTCCCGGCGGAGGAGCAGGGAGCGGCGGCCCCGCGTCCCTCCGGGAGGAGCCTCAGGCACCAGGTCCTTCCAGGGCCTGGGCCGCTCGCGGTTCTCATGGGACCACAGGCCGGTCCGCAGGTTTGTCGCCGGTGCCCGCGGGCTGAGTGGCCTTCGATGCGCTCCCGCCCCGGTTTCAGAATCGCGGGGCGGAACTCTTTTCAGGTCAGCAGATCCTGGAAGGTTTCCTTCCTGCCGGGCCCCCAAAACCCCCACAAAGCCCCCGCGCACCCCGCACCCCGCACACCACACCCCCCACACCCACATCAGCAAATGACTCACCTTCCGACTTAATTCTCAGGAAGGAGCCTCCTGGTCATCTCGGCTTGTTCAGAATCGTAGGGTCCTAACAGGGCAGGTTCCCACCCCACTCCTCACCCCGAGGCCTCGGGGTGCCACTGAGCACGCTGTGCCAGCGCCCAGGGTGGACAGACCGGAGGGCGCGGGCCCTGGAGGAGGCGGGCCCCGGGGAGGAGGCGCGGGCCCCGGGGGGAGGCGCCGGGGAGGAGGGACGCGCTGCAACCCGGAGGCTCGGAGCTCCGGGGTTCCAGGGGGGCGGGGAGGGACGGGAGCGGAG